TGATTTGAATTGAGATGAGATAATCAAAATAAAATTGAGAAAATTAAAAGAGGGGAAAAACTATATAGAAGATGTAGAATAGTATAAGATATGGAATAGAACACAAAAAGGAGCATGAAATTGAGTTTTGTGTCTGTATAAAGAAGTTCTACCGGGGACCATGCTATTTTCAAAAAAGATGTTTTATTTGTATTTTGTATGTGTGAAAACCCAAATAAAACTTTATTTTAAAAAAGAGCCATTTTTTTCTGTCCTTAGCACAAAGTCCAGAACCAGTTTCCAAGTAGAAACAGCACTGGATATCTTTTCTTCTTTAATTAAAAGCCAGTTTTGCCAATTTTGCTCCATCACTCCTTCCATCCTTTCTCCTGTTGTGGAGATTGATGTACCCTTCATTTCTGTGCATATACAATTCTCTTTGCAGTTCAACACATTCAATAACACAGTTCCAATTCCGAGTTTATCCAAATGTTGATAATAATTCATGCCTCTAAATAGTCTGCATTTTACCAGTATCATGACTCTGTAATTCTATCATTAAAGGATATAGTTCAAAATTTATGGAAGAGACCATTCTTATTCTGTGGATTGTTTCCTCTGCATACAACTGAATTTTACATATTACCACATGCTGTATTTTTATTATTGTTATTATTATTATTTGAAGTGAATGTTCATGTGTCTCATTCTTTACTTCATAATGGTTCCTATTTCTGATTAAATAGTCTTTGGTCCACACTGCTTCTGTAAGAAAGAGTTCATCTTTGTGGCTCTGTCACAAAGAACTACGGTACTTTAAAAAAAATCTAAAAGCCTCTCTCTGGCAATATCTTCTGTTCCAGATGAAAAGGGCAGGGAAGTTAGGAAAAAGAATTACATCAGCTTTAAGAGCTCATAAATTTATAATTAGTTCTATAAAAGACAGTCTTTATGAACAGAGACTGAGAAAACGCCCAAGAAACATATCCTGAAGGGATATAAATTAATGCAACAGGTTAGTTGCTGCACAAAATATTATTTCAAATGGTTATTTCTATAGGGTGGATATGGCTAACAATATAGTTGTGTCCACTGTAAATTGTGTACAATGTAGTGTACTCCCTATTTAGAAGAGTAAAAATAACATGGTGCCAGCTGTGACAGCTTTCTTTTTCCCTTTCTGTTCATAGAATAGGTAATTCCAGGCCCTAATAGATAAGAAAGCCAGTAAAATTGGAGTTAGCTTGCTGGTTTCTCCTCCTCCTATTCATGGGGTAATTAGTTCTAACAAATAGTTGGGGTTGGGGATTTATCATTTGGTCAATTCAACCACCTCGCACCACCTCCAGAGAGGTGGTAGAGACGATTTGAATCAGTTGGCCCCACCCACACCCGCCTTCTTCCTTTTAGAGACTGAGTACCACCAAGCCACACCCTCCAAGCCACGCCCAAAGAGCCAGTAGGGGAAAAATTTGAATTTCACCTCTTCCTAATGAGAAAGGAAAGGAAGGAAACATAATAAACAGTTAAAGGAAAGGTCTGTCCTTATTAGAGTAAGAGCTTAAATCTGAGTGGGGCTTTCTATTTTTTTGTGCTTTTTTCTTTATTTTCTGCACCTTTTATTTCTTCTTTTTCAGCTTGTATTATTTATTATTGTAATCATCATAAAATTCCTATAGAAAAAGCACATGTACACATTCAATAATTAAAATATATTGTTGAAAGTATAACAGATATTTTACTTCTTTTAATTCCATATCAAATCCAAGCACAGATTTATTTATTATCTGATCCATTGAGCCTCCTTTTTGGAATCCCTCAATTCTTCCCCCTGCCCTGGACTTGGGTCTTCAAGTTTCAGAAGCAAAGCAATGGGAAGTAAAGAATTATTATTATGATGGTTGGTTGCACATTCAGCCAGTTGGTTAGATTAGATTTGTCATTTTTTTATCCACTATTGATGTCCTTTCCATGGGCCTAGGAGAAACAGATGCTGTTAAATAATATCAAAGATATTGTTGCAGGATATAAGCAGTTCCTAGTAAGGCTGCCTTTTGCAATTGACTGATGGTAATTTTGTCAATGCCAATAGTGTTCAAGTGGTGCTCCATATATTTTGGGAGTCCATTCAAGGATCATATTATTTCTGTATTGGTACTATTTCTGCTTTCTTTTGCCATAGTCGTTCTATTTGCAGGTCTTTATATTTTGTGATTTTCTCCATTTCTTTCTATTCGATTCTGACTTTCTCCAGATATAATTATATTCACTATCCAGTCTCCCCTCCTTTTTTTTAATGATAAGTTTGGGGGGGTTATGTGGCAGATGTCTGTCTGTTTGGATTATTATGATTATTATTTTGTTAATAATTTAATAAAAACTAAAAAAGTATATACTCTTATTTTAGGTATAATACACCTAAGAAAAAATAATATCAACAATAACCAAATTTCTCAAAATCTAGAAAAACAAAGAAGAAAAATTCTGGTCATTTAGTTGATGGCATCAAATCATTGTTCTGCCTTTTGCAAGCTCTCTAGTAGCTAGTAAATCAAAGTGAAGGGAAGCAAAGCAAAGCTTTGTATTTTCCAGTGTACCCCCATGCTTTCTGAGAAACTTAGTATTGGTAATTTGATTGAGGGTGATCTAAATAATTACTTGACACTGAGTTGAGTTCATAGAGAATTTTCAGTTTATAGCCCCTAATGTCTTCATGATATGAAACCTGGCCATCCAACACAATGCTTTAGAGTCACATGGAGGAGCAATATGTTGCTGAGTTAACTCAGTGGTAAAAGTGGAGCTGTTCCCAGGTAGCAGAGGGACACTGCTATATTAGCTGAGCAAAGGCTAAGTGAAAGCAAAGAAGGGTGGGAGGGGGGATGGGAGGGGGATCCTGGACTGCTCGACACTATAAACAGATGGACAGTGATAAGAGATGAAAGGGTAACTGTTGCCAACCAAAATATCATAGTTATTTTGAGTTCCTGCCTGGACAATCCAAGCTAGCTAGCCTTCTGTGGCACAAGAGGACAAAGAGACAAAGTGCTATGATCTGGTGAAAGAAGAACCCATAATATTAAGACTAAAATGAAGCTCAAAGCTCTGACTTGCAGCATATTCCAAGGAAGGAGGAGAATCTTAACCCTTAATAAACAGTATTTTTATCTTACGTGTTAAAAATATACAGTGTATGCATGTTATGCAGTCCATGTTTATATAACAGAGAAGGGGACATTATCTTTTAAGATGGGATTGCACAATCATATATTTTTTATAAGGGTGTCCATATTACAAAACAAAACTGGCATGATTCATTAGGACTTATATTGTTTCTTTAAAAAATTGCAAAAGGTCGTTGTAACTAATCAATTGATTAGGCATTGTACCTAAACTTTAGAAATGTCAGATATTATATCTTAGAATTAAAGTGTATGATTTGAAAGAAATTCATGAAATAGAAATAAAACTAACATGTAACTACCGGTAGATATATCAATATTTTATGTATTTCTAATGCCTCTTAATAAAAACATTTGTTTCATGAATTGTATGGAAATGCAATTATACTTGTTTGGATTTTGCAATTGTTCACTAGCATAAATGTTAATCATGGTAGCATTGTGATAATTGTTTCCAGTTACTCAATAGCAGTCACATATTGGATAACATCACGGGGATTGTTTAGGATTAAGTTCTCCTTTGGTTAAATTTGTGCCTAATCAGGAAATAGTCATTTAAAATATGAACCAATTTTGTCTTTTTTTCACAAGCAGAAGAATGCAATTCAGTGTTATTTTATTATAGGCTTTAGCCAGCAAATTAAAAAAAAACACAAGAAAAAAACACCGAATAGCTTTTTACAGCAATTAATCTTATTTTCCACTGTGTATTCCCGGCTGGAATCCTTATGCTAAATAACTCTGCAACATTGTACTTTGCCTGAAAAAAACTTACCAGCAACTAGAATATATTTGATTAAGTGGACATTGCTGCTACAAGGGGTGCAGTATTGCATAAAATTTATAGTGTGAAAAACTTCTGCAATCAATTCTACCTCTTATGAACCACAGACATACTGTATTGTGATATTTGTCCCTGTAACAACAACAAATGGAGTTTGTAACAGCAACAAATGGAGGTTGTTACAGCAAGCACAAGTAAAGATAACATTTGTAAAGCTGGTGAAAAGAACTGTCCTGCTTCCAAATAATTCTGGGTATTCTTAACACACACACACAGTTGTACAGCAACCTCAAAAAAATCTCAAACTGAGCTCATACTTAACTACTCATACCTTTTCTTTCTATTACTACCTTGAAAACAGTTTTCAGGACAAAGGATTCCCAGTATTTCAGAAGATTTCTAATTTCTGCTTTTGATCTGGCAATATGATATCACAACCAGTTTGGGTAACTTTAATGTTAATCTTTGCTATTGAACTAAATCCAATTCTGATTCTATAGATATAGTTTTCTGCTATTTCCTTAGCTGTTCCCCCCACTTTAGTTTGGTCTATGTACTTGCTAGTCCATGATAAAATGTTTGAATCATCTCTATGGCTCAGGACCATTCCTAATGCCTATGGTTCAGCTCTTTCTGATTTGGATGCCATCCATGTAGTCACAGCTTCTTTGATGTTCCTAATGCCCTGATTCCCACCATTAATGCATATCCTCCTCCTCCCACCTCTACCCACCCATCACTTCCTTGCTCTTCTGGTTGGTCCCATCCATTCTCATCCCTATCGCTGCTTGATCGGATGACTTTCCGTTCCCTCCCAGCATATGCCTACTACTCCATCCCCAGCCCAGCTGTTTGGATTTGGACTTGCCGAGACCCAGCCTCCAAATTCTGATCCGATCCATCTTGCTGCTACCCCATGTCTCCCTGTGATCCCCCAAATTGCTCCCCGACTCGGGGAGGGGTGGGGTTGGGTGGGCTCTCCGCCTTTGAAGGAGCCTTTGGGAGGCGCTAGGACCCAACCTTCCGGCGGTCCAGCTTGACTCAGGCGGGGCAGTCTGTGACGTGGTTTACCGACGGGTTAGCAGGCGCTGCTCCGGAGCTACCTGAACTAAAGCGCCGCAGGACAGGAGCTGCCACAACCCACAGCGCGCACCGGGACTGGCCGACCGTCTGAGCCTGCAACTGGAACCCGGGTTCGGCCGTCGCCGCCACAAGTCAGAACAAGGGTGCAGCACGATTCCCAGGTAGCTACTCGCAAAGAGGAGATGCTGGGTTTGGGGTCCTCGGGGTGGAGCGGGGAAGGGCGTGGGGGAATTGGATGGTCAGGTCGGGATGTCGCCGAGCCGGTCTCGCAGGTGGCACCAAGCGCGCGAAATCCCCCCTCCTCCCCTCCCCTCCCGCGTGCGCCCCAGGCCATTGTGGGCTACAGGTGTGGGGGCAGTCGGCGTACGTGCTGAGCGCCGCGTGGGCGCGCATGAGTATTAAGGCTGGGTGGAAAACAAGGAGGGCGGTGGGACCCCGCGCGCATTTCTCCGGTTCCCGCGAAGAGTTGGTTCAGTTCAGCTCAGCTCTCGGCAGCGGCGAGGGATGCTGAGCGGGGAAGGGGGGGGGGGGGGGGCCCCCGGGGCGGGGGAAGGGGGGGGGGGGGGGGGGGGGGGAAGAGCTGCTGGGGCTTCCCGTGCGTCTCGAGCGCTCCATAGTGTCGAATCCTCCAGCATCTCGTTTCCCGCTTCGTGGCCCCCTCGCCCTCATGCCCCAAGTCCTAATCGTCTTCGGGATTGCCGAGCGGTCGCTCTTCTCTTGCTGGCTCCGAAGGAGCCGCCCTGCCTCCTGCTAGCAAGGGGCGACGTAGCTACGCCGAGCTGATTCTCCCCGCCGGATCAGTCCATTCTCTTCTCTTCTTTTCTCTTTCTTCCCACGCGCAACCTCGGCCCGGAGGACGTGCTGTGGGGAAGAGGCGCTCTCAGCTCTTCCCCTGTTCTTTCTGCTTCCACACCCCCATCGGCTTTTCCTGCGAGGTAGACTGGCTCACGTATGACCCGGGAAGAGCTTTCCTCGGGTCGAGACAGGCACCTGAAGGAGCCCACCTGTGCCCCCCGGGGATCGCTAAAAGGAGACGGTGGAAGTGCAGTGGGGAGAGAGAGAGACAGTTGGGCACGAGGCCAAGGCCTGGACTGTCCCTATTTTGTATGATCCCTCTTTGGGAAATGCATTTGTCTCAGAAGCCATTTCATGGTGCTGTGTCTTCCAGTTTAAAGGGTGGTACTGGAAAAAGTTCCTTGCCTTTATGGTCTTTTCTTGACTTTGGGGATGGATCCTACCACAATAGTCAAAGGTTCAGAATCTCTCTCCCACATCTGGATCATTATGTTTGGACAAGTTTACTTTTGTCTATATCTTTTTAATGGTTAAAAAACCTTTTCTGTTTTTTTGTTTTTTTTTTGTTAATTTATCTCTAGGATATTTTTCTGTTTAATTCTCCTGTATTCACTTTATTGTCCTTTCCATTCAGTAATCAGGTCTCAGTTACTGGCTTCTTCTAATCTAGTAGTGTGTTGTTGTTTTTTAAACATAACTAGGCTACATGCCTAATACTGAAATACCATGAGGAAAAACTGTCTGAATCCCATGGACAAAATTAATATATTTACATTTCACCTATATTTTTAGGCTAGATTAATTTACTTGTCAATTGGCTTATGTTATTGGCTTATTCTATCTTGTGTGGAATTGTGGAGTTGATGCTTATTAAATATAAAATCTAACAAGGGAGGTGTATTAGTAAGTATTTGTCACATTAGATTTTAGCTTTACACTAACACTAATTAGTTGGTTTGCAGCCAAATCCTCTAATATATGTTCACTTAGAAATCAAAGGAGTTTGATGAGCATTTCCAAATAATTATTTGAAGGTTGCAGAAGTACCATTTGAAATGCAATGCTGAACAGAATTTTGAGAAAATAGACATATTTCTGGAGTGTCTCGGAATGTTTAAGATCATTATTTGTCAATAACTTTGGAAGTTTCTTTCCTAAATTGTGAGTAGTAGATCATATCCACTATTCTAATAACAATAGAAGTGGAGAAGAAGTATGACCATATATTACAATTGGTACTGGTGTTTCTTTCAATGGCATGGTACCTGAAATCATGGGTTTGGGTCTTTTCAGTTTCTATGTCCCTTGACACTGTCTGCTCTTTCTGAAGGGTAAATTCTCAAGATGTACAGCTGCACAACTTATGACTCAGTCTAAAGTCCTCTTCTGCACTGAGGGTTGCCAGTAAAGTGACACTCTCAACAGATCTCTAGTGGCATTCGGTTCTCCCCATGAGTTTCTTTTGGATCAGGCAAATGTTTTTACACGTGAGTAACTGCAATACCTATGAAATGCAATCCATTAGATCCAGGATGAACACTGACCTTCAGGCCTTATTTTACATTTGCACCCAGAACAGTTAATGATGACTATGAAATGAGCCTGTTACTATCATATTGTGGCCTCTGGGATTTAATGTTTAATCTGCAGAACCAATAGCTTTTTTAAAAATAGCATGACATATACAGCCCTGGTTCTGACATAGCAATTTTTTTTATTTGATGTTTTAAATATCCTATTGCAAAGCCAGGAAAATAGGGAATTGCTTTCTAGTTAATCTAATGCATCAGTCTGTTCCCTGATAGCAACCACTGGAGCCTTTAAAACTTGCTACATTTTTTAAAAAAATATATCAAAAAAAGCAAAATACATAACAATACACATTTTAGCAGCGGCCAGATTAGCCTTCGTCCAATGTTGGAAGCAGCCTCAGGTTCCATCAGAGGAAACGATCATTCAAAAAATCTCAAGTTGTGCAGAAATGGACAAACTAACTTTGGCACTAAAAAACAAAGACACTTCAATATACTACAATAGCTGGAACTGCTGGTACAAATGGATTGACCAAAGATAGATTTTACACTATAAGGCAAAAGAGGATAGGATAAACCTATAGCAGTGATATAGAGATATATGTAAAGATTAGGTGTGTGTATATGGCATAAATTAAGGGTTATGGGGAAAAAAAGAGATCTTACAAACTGTTGAAGATGAGAATGTTTTTAATTGCTTTCTATCCTTTCTATTTTCTTTCTTTTTTTCTTTCATTTGTGTATGTGTTGTTGGTTTGTTTTAATTGTAAAATTAATAAAATTTATTTATAAAAAAAATAAAACTTGCTACAGACTTTTTCTCTCTCTGTCTATTAGAATAGAAAAACCTTCAGGAATTATTCAGGAAGGCTAAGCTTCCAAATTCTAGGATGGTATGGTGATCTGGCAGCTCAGCATGTCTTAGAATTTTGAGTATAGTATGTGCGTGCATAGAATGCATGCTCAGAAATGATACTGCTTTTTTATTGGATAACCTTTGTAGATTCCTATTATTAGTTTTCAGCCATTCTAGAAGAAGGATCAGAAATGACAGTTGGAATAGGGCAACTGGATAAAGTGCCAGTACGATAAGAAAATTCTTACAATGGGCTAAACTCTGCATTTCATAATCAAGCCCTTTAGCAAGTTTGGGAAGGGACACAGTACACATAGTACTGTGGTAAAACATCACATACTGTGCTTTCAGTTCCAACCAGATTTTATGTGGCTTAATCATTCAGTCACAGATAACACACTTTTAATTAAGCTGCCATTAAGCTCCCATTCCCTTAAATTAGAATTAAAATATTTAAACCCCAGCTTACTGACTGCACTTTTACTATAGATTGAAACTCCAGGGGTGCAAAGGGTATATGCCAAAATGTGACACTGACATACTGATTATTAACATTCCATGGTAATTCCACATTTTGGTAAGTTAATATTTGTGTGTTTTTTTAAACCAGTTTTATTGATTTTCAAAGACAATACACAAACAAAACATACAAACATAGAACATCTTTTCTGAAAGCTGCTTGGTCTCGGGTTACATCTCTTCGTACAGACACAAATTCAAATTCATATTCATTTTATATAACATTCCATATCTTATTACCACTTTCAATTTTCTATATAACTTCTCACCTCTTTTAACTTTCTCAATTTTATTTTATTTATCTCATCTCAGTTCAAATCATAATACTCATTATTCTTTGTCTGTTCTATTTCCAGCTATCCATTTATCTTTTCTCTTTAAACCAAAGTTTCTCCTGTACACTGATTGGAGTATGACGCCTTTAACTCTTTCCCCTAAATTTATAACACTTAATATAATACATAACTTCCATTGGGATTCTGTTTGGTACATTCTAGAATTACACACTATATTTAAAAAAAGGAAAAATTATAAATATATAATACAATTAAAACAACAATCCATACCAATTCAATTCTATCATCATATATTAATATTAATTTAAATCTTAACGTTTTACCCATTACTTTTCAGATAAGTATCCTACTTCTATGAGAACATTTATAAACTTTCCATAGTTAATTCCTCCCCACTTCACTTATATTTTATAAAACATTAGGTAATTAAAATGTTCCCATTCCTTCCTAATTGAATTCTCTCATTTATTTCATTTCATTTATTTTATTCACAATTTTATTCTCTAAAGTTACACAATGTTTTTTATAAAGAAGAAAGAAAAAAGGAAATTATAGGTATATGATGTAATTAAGACATCTATTAATGCCAATACAAATCCAATCATTAATATTAATATTCATTTATATCTTAAATACTTTACACGTTACTTTTCAATTAAATATCCTACTTTTATGGGAACACTTATACTTTCCATAATTATTTCCCCCCCACATCACATATTTTAAATCGTTATTTCATTAAAATGTTCCCATTTCTCCTACTTCAATTCTCTCATTTATTTCATTACCTTCTTTTTCCTCACAAAAATTTCACTAAATTACACTAAGTATTTTATCCCATTTTTGATTACATATTACTTCCAATTTTCTAACATTATTTCTAAATGCAAATATAAGAATACAATCTAGTGTACCTTTACAGAATCCCTTTTTCAATTAAATTTACCCATTGTCTCTAAAAGAATTTTGTTTCTTTACATCTTGCTCCCCACCATTGAGGCTTCTCATCGCTTCCATTCTCCCTTGCTTATTCTTCTCCTTGCCCTTTTTACCCCCTTGTCTCTCCACCTCCCTTTTCTTCTTCTGCTTTCCCCCTTTCTGTTGTTTTCTAACATTATATCCACTTTTCACCTTATTTTTCTCTTTTTGGGTTGTTTTTCCAA